CGCTGACATCAGCATGCAAAATACACCTAAGCAGATGCTTCGCAAGAGTATGAAGAAAGTAGAAGATTCAAAATGTGGTACCGGTAAGCGAAAATGAATTGCTAGATTCTGCTTCTAGCAAAGCGAGCAAGGTGGGTGACGTTTAAGACACTGGCAACAGGCTGCTTACGGCGTTTTCCTTGCAGAGCACTTTGAGTGTCGCTGTCTGCCCCTCCCTGTTTGTCACCTTGTCAGCGATGATGACGTTGGTGCAGGCAGCGTGCGGCCAGGCTAAATGAGGAGGAGGCTTGTCATGCTGGGTATGTCCCCCCCCAAGCCCCAAATTGGACATGAAGTGCTTACAGAAGCTGGTCTTATTCACAGTGGCTCGAATCGGAAGGCCATGGTTGACTGGGCCAATGAAAGAGGCCGGGGGGGGGGGGGGGGGCCGGGGCAGAAACTGCACCACCGATAGCTTTGCTGGTGGAGTAAGATGGACACCTTTGTCTGGACTTCTATTGCATCGTGCCAAAAATGTCAGGCGACTGACAAGATGAAAAGAGAAAAGCAGAACCTACTGCAGGACCATGTGAAAATCTTCTGAAACACCATCGGGAGAACTTGGCAGGAGAACCCCGAAAGTCTCCCTGAATCAGCTCCTTAGGACCATTGCCAAGCAATTACTACACTGGATGACTATTAAAAGATGCAGCATGTGGCATTATGGGCCCACGAGCAAAGGGGCACTGCCCCGTCTCACAGTCAGAGCCACCACGGAGGACCCTAGCAGGGCTAGAATGAAAGAACGGCACGGCCGCCTGAGCTGGCTTTGAAGAGCAGGTGGACATTAAGCATTTATGGGTGACTCTCAATATGCCGAAGCCGGAAGATCAACGCAGCACTACCATCGCGTTCTGAAGCAGACCCATGACAGTGACAGCGGACCTAGAAGAGAAGTTGAGGAGTTCCTCGCCTGAGCCAAAAGTTCTCTGCCTTCATTATAAGGCTGACAAGACAGTGCCGTCTAACAGAAGATGTGCACTAACTCAGCCTCATGGCAGCTGCTCCACAAAAAAAAAAATGTGTGTGCATTCATCCATGCATCCCTCCATCCATAACCGCAGGAGATGTGTGTTCAGAAGCACTACATGTATTGGTTAGTTTATGGTTGCAAAACCGGAAACTTATGACATTATTTCATCTGCGTAACTCTTTAATGGTTTTTGAGTGAACATTAATTAATTAATTAAATTATTGCTATTAGTACCGATGTCATTCATATCAAAATTGTTTGTTATCCACACCCGGTCTGCACTGGTGTTAAAATAAGCTGAGAACAACAATTCAGCTTTTATCTCCTTATGCCTTCTTCAGACATGGTGCTTTTTTCAAAGGAAGAACATTCTACATGGGGGCAAAATAATTAATAAGAGGTCAGTCGACCGTCTACCTCATGGGATGAAGGCAAAGTGAAATTTGTTATAAGGAGGAGCCTGTGAGCAAGTGGGAGAGGCATGTAGGCAAGTGTGAGGGGGCTTTGAGCATGTGGGAGGGGCATGTAGGCAAGTGTGAGGGGGCTTTGAGCATGTGGGAGGGCATGTAGGTAAGTGGGAGGGGGCTGCGAGCATGTGGGAGGGGCATGTAGGGAAGTGGGAGGGGCTTTGAGCATGTGGGAGGGGCATGTAGGTAAGTGGGAGGGGGCTGTGAGCATGTGGGAGGGGCATGTAGGTAAGTGGGAGGGGGCTTTGAGCATGTGGGAGGGGCATGTAGGTAAGTGTGAGGGGGCTGTGAGCATGTGGGAGGGCATGTAGGTAAGTGGGAGTGGCTGTGAGCATGTGGGAGGGGCATGTAGGTAAGTGGGAGGGGCTGTGAGTATGTGGGAGGGGCATGTATGTAAGTGGGAGGGGCTGTGAGCATATGCGAGAAGCTGACGTTTTTGAATTTGAAATAACTGATTAGTAACAAATTTGAAGTGTATATCCATTTAATCATTACATCTGTTTACATAAACAATTTAAATACAGAGGTCTGTTTATTGGGGGGATGGATGAAACCAAATGAAATATTGCGGGGGACATGCCCTCCCCACCCCTAACCCTATGCCACTGCTTCCAAACAAAGGCTCTGGATCACTGAAATTCTGATTAGGTGCATATATACCTGCTTGTGGAGTAATGGAGAAGTGTCATGTCTATGCTAGCACTGGACAGTTGTATAAGTAAAATAGCATGTTGTCTGTAACAGCTGACATGCAGAGCTCATGAACTGCAATATTTAAGAATTTGGAATTGGTTACAGAAATGCATCACTATTCCTTCACTGTGATGACAGTTTGACTGAGCTGTAGAAGGTTATTATAAGAATCTTTCCAAAGTCTGGATGCTGCATTGATGTCTGATACCTGAAAGGACCATAGGAACAGCGTTATTTCGTGTGTAGAGTATGTTCCAAACTCTAGACAAGCAATTTTGAAACACCAGAACCTTTTACTGCTGGGATCAGACATTCTGATTAGAGTTGGGTATATTTGGATAGGATAATTCATCAGGCTCTAGATAATAATGTTCCACTGTTCAGTCTGTGGCGTTTACTTTTTGTGCCACTGAGCTGACATAGGTATGCAGTATGAGAAGTTTGCCCTTACGGCTGCTATTGATCAAAGCCCAGTCAGAACCATACAGACCCACCCGCCAGCTCCATTTCTCACTGCACACTGTTTTTCTCTTTGTAGTTTATATGTCTGTCTATTGTTACACTTGCAAAATATTGTTCTCCTCAGGCTGACGCAGTTCTTCATCTCAGCAGTTATATTTTTACCATCGTCGTTATTCCCAGCCACACACCAAAAGTCGCAGACAAAATGACGGCTGCCATATTGGACGTGACAGACAGTCTGCTGAAATGGAGAAAACACTGATGGAAATGAAGTCATGCTTTAAAGGGCAGACTTATGTGGGCTCATCATATATGTTACACTGTCTTCTGGCGGCTATTGTAAGCGTCTTTGGGTTCTTGAAAAGCACTGTATAAATTAAATGTGTAGTTATTATTATTATTATATGGAGTACATGTCCTGTTACAGATCTATCTTTTATTTGTAGAACATAATGCTCTCTGCACAAATTGTGTCATTTTTTTGGTGTAAGTTGTCAGGATTCTAATTTATCTAGAAACAGGACCTTTCTTGTTTCTTCTGAAGTTTTGAGTTTTTCACAAGCAATCCCATCATGCAAGCTGTACTCCAAAGGATGACTGTGACAGGGCAGCTGGCTTTGGTCCTGCTCCTTCCCCACACACCTATCCACTGTCCCCTCAAGCTCCCCCCATTGAACTGACCGATCTTCAGAAAGGCTGGCTGCGGTGGCAGTGGCTCATTACGACCCTGTCATCTTCTGAGAGGTACATATGCGGAGCTGTGCAGCTGAGTCAGCCAAAGCGCAGCAAAGCGCAGCATTCCCGTGTCGCACTGTACTAAACCACGCATTGATCCCTTGGTCTGACTGTCACTTCTTCACACACACACACACACACACACACACACAATCAAAAAAAACCAAAACATCCCACTTGATCTGATGGTCAGTAGGAGCCTTAATATTTCAGTATTTTCCAACACAAATCAACAGAACAAAGCTCACAAAAGACATGTATTCCAGAAGCAGACATAAAAAAACACATTTAAAAAAAAATGTTAATGTCCAGTTTTGGTGACACCCGAGAGTTCCCAGGGCACCTGCTGGAACTTGTGCTAGCAGCTTTCAGATTCTTAACCACAGCACCACCTACTGGTTCCCTGCAAAAAGCATATTGGCACATGGCAGCATGGTGGCTTATTGTATTTTGTATCCCATCCATGGCCTGTGTTGCCTGGGATGGTCTCGCAGAGCTGATGGAGATAAAATCATTAAAAAATAGAAAAAGTTTAAAAGCATTCACTGATCGTAAATGTAGGGGCTGACCCTTGCAATCACAATGACTATCCTATTCAGATGCAGTGGCTAGATGTATTTGGAAATATCTTTACCACTTTCGGTAAGGAAGAGTAATGTGGGCGATGTGGTGGCTCAGGAGTAGCACTGTGGTGTTGGGCGTTTGATTCTTGCCCCAGACCTATGTGTGCCCTGTAATGGACTGGCTTCCCATTAGGGCTGCGCGATATATTGTTTCAGCGTCGTCATCACCATGTGCGCATGCACAGTAATCACGTCACATTTGTCCGCACTGCTTTGTGTCTGTTGACAGAACTAGTGGCAACACCACGAACTTATCTGACACACTCTTTTGAAAGTTAATAACACATTCTATTTGGCAATAGTTTATTTCAGGTAATTGCTTCTCCTTTTTGTTTTATTCCTCGCGGAAATTTCACATATAGCGATGTGATATTGTTCAATCCTACTTCCCACCTACTGTGTCCCCTGCTACTTGTATTTTGCTTTGGGGGATAAGCGCCAGATTGAAGGTAACCCTGCATTGCGTGAGCAGTAAACTTGGACATTTGATGGATGGAATAGGTATATTAGAAATCAATCATTCAGAAGTAGTTCAGGAGACCATGGGACAGGCATTTTACCACAAGGGGGCATATTTTGTGCTGCACATTTAACCCTAAATCTTTATAACAGATCAAATGCAAAAAAATGATGCCTTGAATTCTACTCTACCTGGTTATTTGTAGGATACATTTTATATAACATCGGCAGAAAGCCTGCTTTTGGAGAGTCAGAGTCTATGTCCGATTCAAGCAGCTAAATATCTTAATAATACCAAATAGTTAAAGCAACGGGCCTTTTAGTTCAATGATTAAATGCAATATATGCAATATATTTCATTAAAATAAATATGACTTAATAAAATTTCTGAGCGTTTATTATTTGAGCTTAACTGTTCAAATATTAAAGGTTATGCGGCTAAACCATTCAGAGACAAAAAAAATGGTTTTATTGTTACATGGCGTAAAACCTCGTTTTTACGGGGTCGCGCGGGCACATATACCGCCATTGGCCAGCGGGAGGCGCTAGAGGACGTAGTGCTTGCCAGTCAGTCAGTCTCTGTCGATGGAAGCCTTTTAAAAAGTTTAAGCTCGCTCCTCCGGAGGGCTGGCGGTTCATTCGAGTGTCCGGAGAGTCGCTTCTTCTCCGCGAAGCTGATGGGAAGCCACTCCGGTGTCTTGTAGGGGAAGCTGCAGGGATGCGTGAGTTAAAGGGCGCTTCGGTGAGTAGCAGGTGGCGGTGATCCCCGGCTAGCGCGGTTAGCCGCTTACGCTCCGAAGCGGCTCTGTGCTAAATGCTAACGCGAAGAGTCATTAACTTTACTTCTAATTAGACAACCATAGTATGCGAGGTGGCGGCTGTGTTAAATATCGGCCTGCGTAAGCACTGCGGTATTGTTTTAAAATGAGACGTCTTGGTGGCAGTTAGCGAGAGGGCTAACTTGCATCGTCGACAAATGTGAGGAATCGGGTGACCATTGGATTACTTGTACCTGGTCGTCTAGTTAGGGACTAGGTGGTTTGTTAATTACACATTTAGTAGCCAGCAAGATAACTGGTGTAGCATATGGGAACAAAGACTATTTTCTCCAAACCAGGTACTAATACGCTTCGTCTCCAGGAAGAAGAGCAGCTGGATTCAGCAAATTTAATGTAAAACGCGAACTGGTTTAACAAGTACTAAGTTTACTGTATTGTCACTGTATGTATATATATCTTTCATATTCTGCTGCCCCGTTTGGCCTGGCTCAGATATATGCTTAAAATCACTGGTGATCTTAACTGTGTGAGTTTCATTACCCAAATGGATTTTGCCCTCGTCCTTTGCTGTTGGGTCGATGACGATGGTTAAAGGTTTTTTTTTCTGATGGTGACCATGTTAGGCTCATTAGTTTATCCATTCAGATCGTTCCCTCAGGCTCCATCCATCCATCCATGCTTCCATCCATCTGTCAGTGTATCAGTCCACTGGAAACCATCCTCAAATACACACAGCAGTATTTCGGCTGACTCACCTGCCTCTGGAAGTGACTTGAGAGATAAGTCAGCAATGCCATTCAATCAGATGGTTTAACCGCAGACCACCAATTAACCCCCCCCTCCCCCCAAGAGTCAGGTGAACCTATGTGTTTGCAAGGGAACAGCTCTTTAGCACATTTATGTACAGACTGTGCTGTTTGGCCCCTGGGAGTCCTGCTGTTAAACCCACACATGAACTGGGTCAGTGAGCACAGCTGACATGTTGCCTTTTCACACTGACTTCCTCTAATGCCACAAACAGATGGCATTGAGGGCTGTGCTTTGAAAGGCAGTATATTCATTCTCGGATGAAGCCATCAGACCTGTGCTGTTCTCCATCTCTCTGTGGCCGCCTCTTGAGCTTGGGAGCCGTATGTGCCCTCCTAATGGTGCCACAGCAAGCCTTTCTGCTTGCCATGATTTTGCTATCAGTGCTGTTTGCATGTTGTACCTGTTTTGGCACATTCGTATAAATGATCAAACTTTCTACACACAACCTAATCTGGTTGCTCTGTGGCTTTCTACATTATAGGAGTTATGGCTTTTCCATTAAGTGAGTGTTTTGAGCTGGTTCAGTAGGGTTTGTTTTGTTGCCTGTCAGTTTGTGCAGTGGAGTCATGTATTAAAGTTAATATAACAGACACTGTTTGCACAGAAATACTATGGTGTGTTTGTGGGAAGAAAAAAAGTCCCTGTGTGGTTCATAATGCCAGTATAATGTAGCCATCTAATAAGATGTTTATAGAAGTGTTTGCTTTACTGTTGTATGAATCATTGGTCTAACAAGGTTTAATTAATTGAGCATTGCACATGTTTTGGTTTAATGAGACATGGTTAAGAATAGTGTACTGTGAGTGCACCTCTGTGTATACCTGAAGGCCTACAGAGTGAATGGTGTGAGTTGACAAGTGTAAAAGGTGTGTATGAAGTTGGTGAGGAGGAGTACTTCAGTTATACACTCTACAAGGTGTGTTTGCTGTGAACAAATCTTCCTGATAATGAACACTAACCATGTAGTTTGATGCTAATTGTGAAGGATCATGGAACAATTAAGTGATTGTGTGATTTAGTAGTATAGTATTTGTAGGAAGAGACAAAGTCATCGCCAAACATTCTGAGTGGAAGAACATAAAAACTAAAATCGAGTTTTGGTCGGCAAGCACTGCAGACGCGGCTGACATGATGCGATATCTGGAGGCTTCTTGTCCGCGTTTTACAAATGTCATCCATGCCTTTGCAGTTTGACACCAGCATTCGGGCTGCCAGGTTGTGTGTCTGCTTGTTTATGAGTTATTTTACTTTGGGGATGTCAAGCAGCCCCTACGTGTCTTGCAGGATATAACCATAATCATGCCTCTTGGTGACTCAGTGTGCATCATCTCTTTTGGTTTTTCATTTGTTTTCCATTAAATAATAACCTTCAGATTGCTGCTATGTGCACTATTCTATGAATCCTTTATTGTGCTTTAGTGTATAAATTAATTGCATATGAGGAATGGTTTTGATAATGTAGTGGATGCTGAGGTTGAACGATGTGTATTATAGGTATGACTTTCCAGCGGTTGTACTAGGTATATTATCACATCCTGGCCTCAACCATTCAGAATGAGTCAAACCAGTTTACTTGTGTGGAGTTGGTGTCTGAGGCCGTTTGTCATGATGAAGGCTGTGCCAGTTTTTAGCAGGAGTGCTTGTTACTGCACCTGTGGGGTATAGATACTCAGAAATGCGTGAAAGTTACAGCTTGAGCGGTTCTGGTTTTCACAATGAATGGGGGAAAAAGTCACAAGAAGATCACAGTCTGTTTTGTTGTATGTTTAAGTGCGTTCAGATAATTCCTGTGCATTTAGGGAATTGAAAGCCAAACATACTTTTGGCCATGGGCAAAATTTCGGCTTTCATTGCCGCTGTTCTGAGGAAAGGTCATCGGTGTAGAATATCATAGAGCTGACATGAAGTAACCTCTGTACAGAAAGGAGCCATTCACTACAGTACATGGGGAAAGACCGCTTTGCCGGTGCTAAGTGAATCAGTGGTCAGCAATTGTGTCATAAATTGACTTGTAAGGAGTAGGTGAGGTTGAGGTACTGTGGTGGGAGATTGACAGCGGGGTTGTTCCTGGCTGGAGAGTGCAATGTTGGGGATTCCCGTGTGGCTGAATGCCCAACGGATTACATTTTGGTTACATGTGATGCACGTCAGTCCTGTTCATGGTCCCTTGTAATAATTTTACAATGCTGCTGCCTTTAACATTTAATTTGTTTGTTTTTTGTCAGGGAAAGTCTTTGAGTTGGTTTGAAGGTTTATCTGTAAGGACGGTCACAGGCATTTGGCTTTGGGAAGCTGTACTGAGAGTCCACCATGGTAGAGAGAAATGTTGCTCACCCCAATGTGAGGGACCACTGTTGTGTCAGTCTGCATCCACCTCCAGTTAATTAGCTGATTAAGATGTGTCTGAGCAGGGAAATCTGCAGACTGTGTTGCAGACTGGCTCTCCAGGACCAGAATTGGGGAACTATGTCTTGCATGTTAGACTTTATTTCCCCCAACCTAAAATTTTGGAAGCTATCTTCTCCTACAATTTTTCACCTAGAAATTCCTTTCTATCTCTCAAATGTTCTACTTATTAATGAGAAGTGTGCTTGTATTTTTTCCTTCTGATATTCCACCTGCATCCCTGTTTTTCATCCCCGTTTCTGCCAAATTTTTCCCATAGATTTGTATGGGAATTTTTCAAGCTGCTCCCATTCAGTCAATCTTTGTCATAAACCCGCTACACTTGCTGAAGACATCCAATGTGCAGTTCAAAAATATTCAACCAACTTTCATCCATTTTAACCCTCCTCTATCCCTTTTTAGTCCCTCTATTTTCCTCCGGTTGACTTAAATTCATTTTTAAATGCTTCAGAAGTCCTATGCTTTAAATGCTATAATATGTTTGCTACATTTTGTTACTTAACATAAATGCACCAGTATTTTTCTCTATTCTTTTTCTTTCTTTTGGTGGGCTAATGGTTTGTAATGGTAGTGTAATAATAGGCCATATGGTGGTCTAATGATCTGTAATGCTAATGTTAAGTCGTAGTAACAGTACTGCTAATGCTTGCTAATTGTAATGCTGCCGTTCATGCTAGCATTAGAGGTAGCATTCATGTTAGCATTAGCACTAATATTGTTTTTGTTCATACTAGTGTAAGTGCTAATATTTATGTTAATGTTTATGCTAATGCTAATACAACTGTTTGTGCTGGCATTACCGCTAATGTTAATGGTCATGGTATGGCTAATGCTAACCTTCCTACTATACTCTATTTCTTTTCTATTTTATTCTTTCATTCATCCTGCCATATAAATCTATTGATTTTATTACTCATGGTTTTAAAGCTGCAAGCTACAGTCAGACTTTGTATATAGACTCAACAGCTGATTATAAGCACTAAACAAGCACTTAGCTGCTGAAGCGAAGCAGAAATATTTGTCATTTCTTCATCCCTTCTCAGTGTCTTTCTACTTTGATGAGCATAGCAAACACAATTTTTTTTTCTGGAAATGCCTTTTGTCGATATTTGACTTTTTTTTTCCTTCCCAAAATTTTAGCACCAATCTCCTCCTACAGTTTTTCACCTATGATGCATGCTGGTATAGCTGTGATGAACCAAGCCATACCAGAGCTATACCGCAAAGAATCTGTTCTACATTGTAAATTATGCGAGCCGTACCAGACCTGTACTTGTTCTGACATGAAAGTATGAATAAATCAAAAACGTGACTAAACCAAGCTGGCTTTGTCATCACAATCTGATTGGCCAAAATGCACAGAGATACCGGTGATCTGTTTCGATATGCATGGATTATCTCAAGGAAAAAAAGAGCACATTCTACTAATAATGAATAACATATAGTATTGCCCAAAAAAAGTACTAGAGAATGGCTGAACGAAATGGATTTATAATTCAAATTTACACAAGCTAGCGCTTATTGTGCTAGCATTAGATGCTAACATAACACAGCGATTCTCACTGACGTGCCAGTGTATTTTTTTTATTTTTATTTTATTAGAAAATTTAACTGCTCTAATTTTCTGTACATAAACTGCAAAGGCAAAAAAAAAAAAAACTTCATTCCTATTTTAATACTGCACTGTTCTTGTCTTGGTGTCTGTGTGTCATTGTGCAGTCGTAATGTGAGCAATCTCCTCTGGGAT